TGGGACCCATTCTGTATATATATATTCGAGATTTTCGAAACAGTTTTTTTAATTTTATTTTGTTGTTTAAATTCATAGCTATATTAGGCGTTAAACATACCAAAAGGTCTTATTAAAGCCTCTGCTATATGAAAACTATAACAATATCAATAAAAGTATAAACGTAACGTAAAATCACAGTGGCATTGTTTTCTATATACATATAAATACACTAGCAACCGAAAAACTTGTATTTAAATTGCAACTTTTCAATGATGGTGTCACTGTGTGATCATCTATGTTACCAATATGTACGTTTACCTTAGTCTTAACTTGCAATATTCGGTGAGCGCAAACCTTTTAACTCTCATTATTTTAACGTAAAAATCTCTGCGTGCATTTGCAGTAACATAATCCGGCGACAGCGTGAGGTCGAAGTTAATGCACTGTTATATTTGGTATGGAGTAATAACTGAAGTTGGTACCACGTTGGTACCAGCGATTTTTCGGAACCGGTACGACTTAGGAACCTTGAAGAAAACAGCCTACCCTTTTTCAAAATGCCGGCAACGCGTTGCAGTTGTTTATGTGCGGCTCCAGTCAAATACCATCACGGGAGCCGCATGCTTGTTTGCCCTCTCTTATAAAAAGAGTAGGGCACATCCTAACAACGCTGGCTAGGTTACGTCAGCACTATTTGACATAACCTTGACCCGCCTTGACGTCACCACAGCCAAGACAGTTATGTCACTTGGAGCCCTAATAACGCTCACGCAACTGGTTTTATTGTCGACGAGATACGACTGGGTGTTATGTCATATATTGACGTTGAAACGGAAGGCTTTTATCCAAATTGAAACATACTTTTCGGTTTCATTTCTAGTATATTTTTTGATTTTACGGTATGCTTTGATTACAAGCTTTTTATTTAATTGCTTTCTACGTATATCTTTCCGGTTCAAAGTTTGTAATTAAGTTAGTCTTCTTTTAAGGTTTTAATTCAGAAATAAAATTCGAGACAGTTTTTCATATTTGAAAAATAAAGTTACAGTTAAGTATACTAGCTACTCACGGAATATCTGCTTAATTGTGCTGTGTTTCTTGGGTGAGTGTAGAGAACTGGAGACACTCTTTGCTGGAAACCAGCCGTTCCATCTCAGTCTTCGGGAACGACAACACATTTGCATTTCGATTCTTATTCGAAGATGGGTGGTAAATGTCTATGGCCCACATCATCCACTTACCATCAGGTGGACTGTGTGCTCGTTTGTTACTCTTAAACTATAAAAAATAGTATAAGATCGTCTTCTGGCAGGTTAGTCAAGTTTGCTTGAACATAAATTGCCTCATAAAGGGGGAGGGGGGGATATTCGCCGTAGTTGCCACGCTTGGCAAGCGGGTTGGCAATCGCGGTTTTTTATTTTATTCGTTATTAGGAAAGCGCTACTGTTCATCTTCCGATGCCCTCGGGCGATCCATATTGTCCATATATATATATGTCAATATCCACTACCCCATGGTAGTGGATATTATTTGTTTCTCTTTGTTGCCGCTTATAACATGCGCGGGAAGATATGTTGTAGCGGGTATTCTTACACCGACAAAATAAACAATACACAAACTATACGACTTTGAAAATTACTTGAAGATGGCGTTCAGACTGACTGTTTCCATCTAAATATTGAAATGACCTAAATATTGAACCTTGAAATGTGTAATTAACTATGGATTTGCATGTAAAACCACCATAAATCTTCTAATGTGAGAATGTTTCCGATTAACAACAGGCAATTACTCTCCTTAGGAGTTATTCATTGTTCTTGTTATAACTGTATGTTCTTAAACTGATTTACAAATAATAAATTAAATAAAATTAAATTGATTTGTTTCAGACATTTGTCCATATCGTTGGTAGCATGAAAATAGATCTTACAAACTATGTTAGTAACATTTCTTGGAAAAGATTTATTCTAGTTTAAATATCTGTTCGCACTGCGCGACCTCCCTGCAACGTGTGTGTGGGTGTACACCCAATGCCGCAGTATCGGGCAGTCAGGCTTTTCACTGATAACTCTGAGAATGGTGTTGGTGCTCCCCCGCACTGTGCAGGAGGGATACGATTTGTTTGCGCTCTGCGGTGTGAAACCCATCAGTGTGCGCCAGCGCAAACAACCCTGATGCATTGTAGTAACATGGAATCCCCAACAACAAACACCCTCAGACCATTATTATATTGTACTCGGAGAGCGTTGATAGCCCCCCCCCCCTCCTCACCCCCGCGTGTAGTTGACCCATAGATTGCACGTATAAAGTGTTTGGCAGTACGCCTTAAACAGTGTTATTTATTTCCACGTATATCAAGTTGTCTTCATTCATTCAAAACATTACTTATCTCCCTCCTCCTACTCAGTAAACAGCCCATTACCGAATACTGATCATAGGCCTTAACGTTACTTCCCATAGTAGGAAAGATCTAACATAATTGTCATGTTAACGGTTCGCAAGAGGATTTTCAATCGCGATTCCCGTCGCCAGTTTCACTATTTTGAATTCATTAATTAAAAATAATGATACTTATGTCCTGCAGACCAAATTCCGGTCACGGTGGCCATCCTCAACGGAGACTCACCTCTGCGCAGGACAGAATAACAGTGCCCGAGTGTATGCGCAAGCACAAACGGACCGCACCCTCTATTCGGTCACTCTCATTATCCGATAGGACGGTATTCGAAGCGACCGGAGAGGAAGTTCTACGTCTGCGTAGAGGACGCCGAATCCGCAACAAGATCCATCAAAGCCGGCGTCCCACAGGGCAGCTGTTTGTCTCCAGTCCTGTACGCGGCTTACACCAACGATATACCTACACTGGCAGGCAGGCTTCAAGAGTGGGAGGACGACGTCGAGCTGGCGCTATTCGCGGACGATAGCGCCTATTTCACCTCGTCCAGAAGAGCCCACATAGCCACTGCCAAGATGCAGCGTCTGCTGGACCTGCTGCCACCATGGCTGGACGAGTGGAGGATGGTCGTCAACGTTGGTAAGACGACCGCTCTGCTCACTCGCCGTCTCAGGAATTTACCACCTCCGCTGACCCTCAACGGCCAGGAGATTGCGTACCAGAAGGCTGTAACCTACCTTGGGTGTAGGATCGACAGGACGCTGCGCATGACCGCGCACGTCGACTTCGTCGTCCGCCGGGCCCGATGTGCGCGGGCGACGCTCTTGCCGGTCCTGGCATCCAAGCTGCCTCTAAGAACCAAGCTCCGGATATACAAGATGTATATCCGGACCATTATCACCTACGCTGCACCGGCCTGGTACGCACTTCTGAGCGACCCTCTGAGGCGGCGACTACAGGCCCAGCAGAATCTGACACTAAGGACGATCGTCGGAGCAGGTCGCTACGTCCGGAACGACGTGATAGCGGCGGATTTGAAGATCGAGAACATCATCGACTTCGTGGCCCGTTTAGCACGCGGCATGTTTGACCGTGCCGATAACGGGCCACATGAACATCTCAACGGCTTTGCGCCGTTGCATACCCGGCCACCGGACGGGCGACCTCTTCCAAGAGAACTCCTCTCTATATGTGATTAGAGAGTTGAGTAACAACCCACAATGCCGCAGAAAGGCCAACCCAGACTCAACCAGACAACCACCTTTTTCCGTAGTTGGTTAACTACGGAAACAATACATCACCTAATACGGAACAAACCCGGTATGCTATTAGCCTAGAATAGGCAACAAGGACTGTCCCATAATAATGGGACATGAGGACACCCGGGTAATGGGGGTCACCCCGAGGCCCGATACCTGCACGTACGTCAGTGCGTGAAGACGACATTCAACGTTCCAACGACCGGAGAGAGATCATGCGCAGAATCAACTTTGAGCAGTTACTGAGATTTTTTGACAAAAAACCCAAAAACTGATTTAGGCTCAACCCGGGATTTGAACCCAGAACATTATTATCAGCAACCGGACCATTATTGTCAAAAATAACTGTTAAAATACTACTACTAGATGGTTGTACGGCTATTAGAGTAGTCTCTTACGATTTCCATGGGACGAGACGGGTGATGGTGGATGAAATCTCGGGTTATTCCGTTTATCAACCCTATAGAATCCACCCAGGGGTAGATACTCGGAAATACGTGTTCATATATCCATCCCAGATGGGGCGAATAGACGGAATTTACTTTTATTTGTTCTTCCAAATTTTTACCCCACGTAGGTACAGTTCAACAAATACACTTTTATTATTAATTAATTTGTAATACCCACAAACCTTGTCATAAACTTACTACGTGTTGCCGTTACCGTAACCGTTACAGCGTATTAAAGTCCACGCATTACGTATTGTATTTAAATCAAATTAAACTTCCTCGTTTTAAACAATATTATTGCGAAATTACCCGATATATTCAGACAATACCAACACTAATTTTATTATTGAGTAGATACTGGATAAACTTGTCGTTTAATGTACATTTGAAATCGATTTTTAAATGTGTTATCGATGTGTTAGCGAAGAACTGGGCGTGTTTTTGCAAGAATTACAAAAACGTAACAATTGGAAGTTTGTGTGTAATTTCATTTTAAATTATTTTATGACAAGATTCCAATGAATCTGTAATTCTGTGAGGTACTTCTTTTATTTCAGCGTTGATCTTTCAAACAAGAAGTATGTATATAATTTTAAAGGTAATATCTACTAAGTATCTTGAACCAGTTTTTATAATGTTTCTACAAATGACTGTACACAGTTGAGGAATAAAATCTAAAGAAAAATAATATACACGAATTCCGATTCTCCAGCCCATCTGGAGTGGATAGGCGAACACAAGTTTCCGAGTATTCACCTTAGGGTGGATTCTTTAGGGTAGATAAACGGAATAGACTGGAATCTCTCACGCAACCACTCCATGGGGACATGGATAAAGTTGACAGCCATTCTATTGTGTATTATAGTATTCTATTGGGTGGCCTATATACAGTGCACTTTTAAATGCTAAGGATGGATGGGATTTTCTTTCAGTAAGAGTAAGTTATTTTATTACTTATTTTTATGCCAGCGCTTAACTATAGTCCCAACCGGCTTTTTTATAGGATAGGGTGATAAATGAGCACACAGTCCGCCTGATGGTAAGTGGTAGCTGCGGCCCATGGACATCTACATCTGTCCTCGATTACGAATCAAATTTTTTTTCGAAAATGCCTGGTTTCCAGTATAAGTGTTTCCGGATCAAAAGCATGAAGCTACTATTTCACGCATTGGTATTCTGTGAGAGCGTGGTCCTTCCACGGTCGAGCCAACCCATTCGTGCTACAACTAATACAAATAATATTTATTCAATATAGTAAATAATACTTATTAAAATTCATTTTTATGTTTAATTTACCACTGGTTTTGAAAATACCGCTGTCCTGGGAGGAACTATGAAGAAACCCAGCGGAATATATTTTTTTAAATAAATGAAAAGCTCACAATCATTACAGTTACACAACAATTTAGAAATATCTTGGTAGCGATGATCTCAAAATTGCACGGTTCACTTTTATATAAATTAAGTATGTAAATCTATAGTAATGGATCTTGCAACCGATCTCGCTGCTCCAGATATTTTGTCAAATATCGTAATAATGAGTTCAAGCGGTCGACCATATGACATTATGACCCTTTATCTCCCATGTAGCTTCCTCTCCTCCCTCAAGCGCTCCGCCGCACACTGCCACTGGGTATCAGCGGCAATCCTCGTTTCTCTTGTTTGGTAAGTTATTTTATAATTCATTTAATTAAAAATATATTCCTTGGATGTAACAAGAAGCAATATTAATAGTTTTTAAAAGAAACTGTCTATTTAAATATATCAAATTAACAATATTTATAAGTTACGCTTAAATGATTTTATTTAAAACAAATATTATCAAAGGAAATTGTTGTTATTTACATACATATATAACGTGTGATTAGACACACAAGTAAAATGTACCGATGTTCCATCATTGTTGCGTATTTTTAATTTTTATTATTACAATCTATTATTTATAGTATATAGTGTTATTATTCTTTTAGGGGTTTTATTTTATTAGATCTAGAAATAAATAGCACACTAACACTATGGACATTATGTAGTGAAGGACGGCCTCCTATTAGACGATAAAATATGGAATACGACCTGGCAAGATATGTAGGAAGTCGATGGACGCGGGTGGCTCACGACCGTGCTTTGTGACATTGCTTGGGGGAGGCCCACGCACAGCGATGGACTTGTAAAGGGGTGTGATGATGATCATGTTAAACACCATGCATTGAAAAAAAAAACAAGTTTTCGTTATTGGGAATTCAAATTGTAACATTCATATAGGATTAAAAAGTTAAAGTGGTAATGTGCTGGCCGTTTTTTTTTTCAAACAACAACAGCTTTGTCACTTGGTGGACGGACCTGAAATGTGTCAATCGTGTTTTGCCCAACATAATTCACTAAGAAAAATATTTAAATTTCATAATGAATTTAAAAAAAGTCAATTCGTAGTTTTTAATAACAATAAATTGCTTTTCTGCGTACCTATAAAGCGTGAAAAATCTGCTTTTAGCGCCCACATCACCTTAATGACCTTATTTTTGATTCCCGACGTTTCGGGTGATTTACGGCATCCGTGGTCACGGGGGGGGGGGGGGGGGGGACTGAGATGTTTGACGTCCCAATGTCATAGTTAGCGCGGCTACCTTCAGTTTTTAAATATTAATTTTTGGTCCGATCTATTAAGAACGAGCTTACAGTATCTTGAAGTCTTGCAGTGGTATGCTTGGGTTTAGGTTTAAGTTTATTAATTATAGGATCCCAAGCAGATGGCAGCACTTATCTTCTCTACTGAAATTATCATGTTTTTTAATTTCAATAGCCTCGACTATAATCCTTGGTAGGAATCGGTGTTCTTTTGCGAAGATTTGTGGTTTATTAAATCTGATGTAATGGTGGGGACGATTTTGAACTGGTTACAGACTGCAGACTTCCTGGAGCGTCGATGTTTGACATCACCTATATGTTCTTTCACGCGGGTTTTTATAGTTCTTTTTGTTTGACCTATATAATAGAGATCGCATTCATAATCTAGCTTCTACATTCCTGCACCAAAAATTGTTAACATCAAAAATTGTCCTACTTTTTCTGGAACCTATTAAAGCAAGGATGAAACTTCTTCAATCGAAAGGAACTGTATTACCACAGATGTGCTCAAAACGAACTAAAAAAACTTTGGCTTAAAACCTCAACAAATATTATGTGTAATGTTCACTAGACTGTATGCTTTGTAATTCATAATAAATTGAAACTAGTAAGCATTCTTTCTATCGTTCTTCTTAATTAACGTAACAGACGTAGTATCTATAGTCATTACTATACCATACATCTGTCATTGTGTCGGGAAGGTCTAACGTAGTCTTAATTAAAATTACAAGACAAATTCTGCCAGAATGGACCACATCCGGTACAGAGACAAGATAGATACACGCTAAAGCTTAGTACAAGACAAATGGGCGAGATAAACAGGCAGACGTCAATATTCGACTGCAGCAGGTCCATCACAGAGTACTTCATTATCACACGGAATCGAATTATCTATAAAGTGTGTTTAGAAAAAAAATATTAGGCCACCGGTGAAAAAAATTAGGTATCTTTTTTTGTTTTTATTGAAGCTTCAACAAATTGTTTTACGCACCTACTTTTTTTTAATTTTCTACAAAATTATTGTTTCCTTTTACTTGTTGGGTAAATGCTTAGATAATACACAAGCGTGTGCACATTTACGCGGTAAAGCCATGTTGTAAATTGTAGCTAAATAATAGTAGTAGCAGAAATGGGTCGACTCAACCGGAGAAGGACCACGCTCTCACAGAATGACAGCGTTGAATAGCGGTTCGATGCTGTTGCATTTCGTATGACGAGTGTAGAGTATTTGAAACCCTTTTTACTGAAAACGACACCTTTCATCTTAGTCTTCAGGGGTGACAACACATTTGAATTTTTAATCTTAGTCGATGATAGTTGTAGATGTCAATGAGCTGAACCACTTACCATCAGGTAGACTGTGTACTCTTTTGTCATACTTATTTTATAAATAAAGTACTGCAATTTCTTGTTTCAGAATGACCGCTTGAAAATGCTGGTTTGGTGTTTGGTGTTAACGCTGCTGGGCGCTAGCCTGGGTTGTGAGCTGACTCCAAGAGAAGGCGCCTTCAATAAGTCCCCCGGGGACAATTACTATCGGTTGCTGTTGAATGGAGAGGTAGAGCGCTACGCCCCGGGGAAAAGATATGTTGGTAAGTCAGACACAATTTAATGAAATTAATTTTACGGATTTGATCGCGTTTCACCTTAACTTATTATTTTTTAATTCTATCGTTTCGCGTGCTTTACATAAAAAAAATATTAGGATATAAAAATAGGTAGAAATCAATAAAAATTTTACGCTATAAATTTTTTAAATTATATTTATTTAGTGTGTAATATTTGCGTTAATTTTTTTTTGTAAAAACCTAGCTCTCACACAGAATTTTTCGTGTATCTTAGAGGCAGTTTACATTACAAAGACTAAAACCCAGACCTATGGGGTAGCAGAAGTTCTTAGATCGCAACTACGCGTTTAATTTAGGTTTAAGGTTAGTTTATTAGGTTAGGTACCACATAGTGTTAACGACACATATTCGAATGACTTTAAAATTATCATCAATATGTGTAATGTTACGTTTCATAAATTTATTCATTTTCTTTTATGACTGGTCATATTTCCCAAGCGCTATTGTTTTTATGGCCAAATCTGTCAGACTCCTGAATCCTGTGAGAAGACATATTCCTTCGCCCACTGTACATCCCCATTTTTAGTTTGGTACGGCTAATCCTTTACATAAATAATTTAAAGACAAATCAAGCAATATATTAGCAATTTTTATTATGTGTATGTGTAGTGACTGGTAGTTGATACGGCACATAACGCGGTCGTTGTCAATTACCGAGAAATGTTAGCTGCTCTGCACTGTATAAAGTTGACAACATTAAAAAAACACATTTGTTTCATTGAATAAAACAAAATTTTACTAATTTGAGCACGTTTTATGTAACTTATTTTAATTTTTGACTTTCAAATCTCCAAAGGCAGGGATAACAGACTTCGATTTGGCACGATCGTGATACACCTCTCTCGTTTCGTTCACATCCTTATACGTACGCGTACATGCTCGTCGTTAACGGTACTTTTTACTTGTCCCGTGTCCAATAAATTACCAATTTAGTCGATATACGGAAGTATATCGACTAAATCAAGTAGGTAGTTCCTTGTGACTCTACATCTCACTTCTGCAGCATGATTTTGTGATTCGAAAATACTCGTTAAACTCAAGGGGATGATTTACAAGACCATAATCAGACCAGTTCTTATGTACGGAAGTGAAACTTCGTTACACATGAACAATGTCCATACTATCAGTGGCGGATTCACACATTTGCCGCTAGTAGTCTATTAAAATTTAGCCGCCCCTAGCGATTTCTACAATTCGGCTATTTCTTGTGCAACCTTAATCAAATCTTTGAGCTACAAAAATAATCTGGGAACTGACAATTCAATCCCCTAGTTAATAATTAATTAAAAATAATCTAGGAACTGACAATTCGATCCCCTAGTTAATAAAAATAATCTAGGAACTGACAATTCGATCCCCTAGTTAATAAAAATAATCTAGGAACTGACATTTCGATCCCCAAGTTAATAATTAATCAAAAATAATCTAGCAACTGATTGACAAAATGGTAGATTTCTTGAAGCAACATGAAGAAACGACAAGCTTCTGTGCAACATTCAGGAGCCGCAGTTGCTACTAAATTTAAAGAGTGGGCAGAGCAATTACCAAAAAAGTGTTTCGAGTTCCGAGATGATGGCAGAAATTGTTTCTTTAGCTTTCCTTTTAAAATTTAAATCTTTTTTAATTGTGTAAGACATTATAAAATATATGCCTCAAATTTGTCGCCCCAAAAACCTGCCGCCTACTATGCCTGGTGATAAATCCGCCACTGGATGCTATACCAGTGGCAAAAGTGAACATTTTGAAAGCTACTGGTAAGCTCTCATGTTCACGGTTTTCTATTTTTTCTATTATGGAGCATGTCGAGATAAGTTTTACGTAAAGCTAAAAAGGAGGAGTCTGAGTAAATGCATAAAATTTTACACAACTAACAACAAAATATTTATAAAGTTGTTTTGTTATTATTTTTAAAGTACCTAAGTACTACAAAATACTATTATTGAAGACAATTATGTTTGGAAATAACGTCATTGCAAATTACTTCGCTATTGATATACCACCACTAAAAGTATGTTATTTTAACATATCATTAGAAAAGACTTCTGTTTCTTACGAAAATCGCTGTTGATTTTTTATTTCGAATCGTAGCACGCTGTCTCTCTCAGTTAATACATTTGCAAGGCAGAGCTTACATGTAATAGCTGTCAACACTATAAGTACAATAATTACGTTGGTGTATATATACTTACGTATTCTTACGTGGTAGAGCCATGCTGCAATTATATTAGTAGTATAGTTGTACCACGAATGAGTCGGCTCGACCGGGGAAGGACCACGCTCTCACAGAATACCAGCGTAAAATAGTAGCTTAATGCTGCTGTGTTTCGTATAGTGAGTGTAGAGAACCGGAGACCCTTTTTACTGAAAGCGAGGCATTCCATCTTAGTCCTCACGGGTGACAACGCATCTGCATTTTGATTCGTAATCGAGGATAGCTGTAAATGTCTATGGGCTGCATTTGATGTAAGAGGATAGATGTAGATGTCTATGGGCCGCAGCAAACACTTACCATCCGGTGGACTGTGTGCTCGTTGACAGGGTGACAACCCTATCCTTTAAAAAAATATATGGCGTACGTCGAACAGACTTAGGATTATTCTTTGTGTAACTTTTCGGACTTCTTGTTAATATACGCGATAAAATCCGTAAAAATTATTTAAATTACTAAATAATTTGCCCTAAACAGGCATTTTGCGTCTGTACGAAAGCAAATTAATAAAGACGGGCTAATAACTTTAATAACTTTGTAACTAGATGAATAGACAGTAAAAAGCTTCACTTTGAAAGGCCTTTGAAAAAACATTTTGGACAAAAACTTAATTATACTTATAATCTATACTTATAATTAAAATTGACGTGACAGTCTGTATTGTTACGGAGTCAAGATACATAGGATTAGTGTAGGGAGGGGGGCATTGGAATAGTACGGTTACAACATTCTGGATATTCTGCTGAAATATATAGGCGCTGCAAGAGGAGTGTGATAACAAGCGTTCGGAGTGGAATTAAGTGAATAGTGTTTTAAATTATTAGTGTTTTAACTTTAATTGTGTAAAGTAAATTAAGTGTTAATTTAGGTAATTTTGAATTTTTTAGTAGTATATTAAAATACCTAACTGGCTACTGTTAAGCTCAGTGGGTTATTTACACGCTCTATTAAGACAATAACCATTTATTAAATTTTTGTCTGGCGCGTCTGGAACCGATTTTGACACAACTTTACGAATATATAGGAAGGAGAGCAATGCCAGATTCTTTAAAAATGATAAAATAAATTGCCTTTGAATATCTACGAACTACTTAACTCCACATCAATGTATCCTCCTGGCACCCGCACGGGTCGCTTGTTGTAAATATTTTTGTTACGCGTTTATTTTCAGTGACACTCGTGGGTTCCCGTACACATGACGTGGTCCAGCAATTTACGAGGTTTAAACTAGTCGTGGACCCCCTGGACCCAAACGCACCCAGGACACCAAGCAAGCAGGGCCAGTTCCAATTGTTCGCTGACACCTTGACCAAGTTCGACGAAGAATGCGTTAACTCCGTAGTGGAAGCTGATGACTTGCCCAAAACTGAAATCCAAGTTATGTGGAAGGCGCCACAATCGGGCTCCGGATGTGTGCTTTTGAAGTGAGTTATTTTTACTTGCTTGACATAATAAACTTTACGTGGCTGTCTCAAATTGTCAAAATATTTTCATACACTTAGGATAATAACTTAAATTAAACATTTTAAATCCCCGAAACAAAAAGAGCAACGACATAGAAAACGGATAATCAGAAGTGGCAATGGGCCGGTGATATTGCTCGTAATCCGGCAACCGATGGGGACGAAAGGTACTCAAGTGGTAATGTTGTATTTGACTTGAATTGTATAACGGCCCGCACTAGATGAAGTGACGATCTGGTAAAAGATGGGACTCCTTGGGGGAGGTCAGTGGACTTATGAGGTGCTGTGATGGTTGTGATGATCCAAACACATTCATAAACTTCCTTATCAAACGAGTATACAATTGGATTCGTCACAAGTTGCCATACTCTTAAGACAGACTTCCTTTACAATTATTTTTTTTACAGAGCTATGGTGTATGAAAACGAGAGTCGCTGGTACTCTGAGGACGGTCAGCTGACGAAGCGCGTTTGTGAGGACACCTCCCTGTCTGCACCGGACTGTTGTGCATGCGACGACGCCAAGTACAAGGTTAATTTCATACACAAATAATTAAATTGTTAGACTTTTTGACGTGAATACTTCTTTAAATTTGCTTCCATAGTGGGAGGCAACTCAGAAAACTGATCATAACAATCGGGGGATACAGTTTAGTGTTGCAGCTACATATCTATCATCTACATCCAACCTTTAATTATAACACTCGCTCGATAGCTAAAGGATCAAAGAACTTGTTACGTTGAGTCAGAAGACTGTGAATCAATTGGCGACACAGGGAAATAAATCAGGAAACACCAGCAGCGACTTTCATAGGAATTGAATAAAAAGAAACTATAACGTCATTAAATTCTTTAAAAGAAAAACAGATCAAAATCCATTGCGTATGGTAATAACTATGACTGTATATTGTTTGTTATTTAATAGATGGTGTTCGAAGGTCTCTGGTCCCCACAAACACACCCGAAGGACTTCCCCGTGGCGGCTCTCTGGCTGACCCACTTCTCCGACATCATTGGCGCTACACATCCCAAGAACTTCTCCTTCTGGGGCGAAGGACAGATCGCTACCGATGGATTCAGGTTTTTTATTCATTTATTTGATAAATATATGCGGTTGGTAATCATCAGGCCCCGGGTTCGAATCACGGGTCGAGTCAAAAATGAGATATCCGATTTTTTTGTTAAGAAACTCTCAGCAGCATCCCGGAGTCAGGAAGTTGGCGGTGTTCCAGCCTTCGATCTCGGAAAACATGTAAAGCCGTTGGTTCTGTGCCTGACCTCGCTCTCTCCAGTCGTGTCGGATAACCGTCCCATCAGACTATAAGCATGAGTTGAGAGTGCACCTGTGCTTTTCCACAAAAATACAAATCAGATTAGGCTGTATTGTATTAGAGAGACGTTTGACGATTAATACAATAAGTAACAAAGAAATCGGTTAAATATTATTTTAACTCTTATAACATAATACTTCATGGTCAATTTCACAGTACACGAGCAACCTGGGTTCGATTTCCGTCGACACCAATTGTTAATTGTAACATTAAGTGCCGCTTTACCAAGTGCTAGGAGGTGAAGGACATATACACGCTTTTACAACAAACTTCAAGATATTGTTTAAAGATATACAATAAAAAACTAAAAAGGTTTATTAAAGAAAAATTGCACAAGAATGGTTATTATAATATTGTGGAATAGGTACATCAATGAAAATAGCCCCTGAGACTAAAGTTATTTTTCGTTGAAATTAGTTTTGAATTTTCATCATGGCACTTTCATTCATAAAAATATACAAAATTATTATAAAATTTCGTACTATGTTTAAAAAAATAAAAAATGTTAATAAAATTGGTTTGTTGCTGGTTGCTATGTCAGATGTATTTTCCTTAAAAGCGGTAAATAAAAAAACACTATTTTGAATAAAATAATCTATATTGAATGAGAATTATTCTATTTTAAGTATTCTTTTCTCATAGCATTACTGAAGAATAAAAGAATGCAGTGATAACTCCTTAACAAATACTTCACATTTCTAGTTTTTTGTCGTCTTATATCATAAATGTGATGCTGTATTTCGATCATGGCAACAATAGCGAAAATTTGGAAGGCTCCGTTGAGATAGACGGCTAGATATAAGAGTGGTAGCGCCACGCTGCAGATATATTATGGTTGTAGCACAAATAGGTTAGCTAGATCTGGAAAGGACCACGCTCTCAGAGAATACCAGCGTAAAATGGCAGCATTGAGCTGCTGGTTTCGTATGGTGAGTGTAGAGAACTGGAGATCCTTTTCACTGGGAATTAAACATTCCATCTTAGTCCTCAGGAGTGACCACACATCTCAATTTTGATTCATAGCTGAGAACAGTTGTAGATGTAAAGACCACACAATCCACTTACCATCCAGCAGACAACGTGCTCATTTATAAAATATATTAATAACTTACATATATAAAATATCTTAATGTAACTTGTTTTAACACGTTTAATTTATTGTATCTAGATCCTTAGCCGAGTGGGGCTCAGTAGGTCTGCTAGAACGAGAGCTTCGTCAGCAGGGCAAAGTGCTACGCTCCATCATCAAAGCTCAGGGCCTGTGGCATCCACGCGTCAACTCCAACACCTCGACTGTGTTCACAGTCGACAGGAAGAGGCACTACGTCTCCCTTGCCTCCATGTTTGGTCCGTATTTTAAATTAAAAAAAACTGTCAATCGTAGGACTGAACGTCAGAAGTGAAAATTTTCTTAGCTTCACGAACTTGTAAATATCTGCGTTTGGCAGAAAAAAGCGCTAGGAAGCGCTTGTAAGCAAAATGGCGAAATTACACAGTTTTCGGCCAGGACACGTTGTTTAACTTCAGTAGCGCTGACACAATCCACACACATGAATAAACATATTATACATGTTATTAAAAATTCATGATTGGTAACTTTTTAATATGAATACTTTACAAACATATTTTTTATGTTAGGTTCACATTTAAATTATGTTAGGTTCCCCGGTTAAAGCTAACTTAGTGTCCTAGAGGAAAATAACTATTTGCCATTTGACAGCGCTTACCGCTTACGATCCCTATTTTGCTTACAAGCGCTTCCTGGCGCTTTTTTCTGCCAAACGCAGCCATTATTTTTAGGTTTTTATAAGAAATATTTTTTAGAAAGATTTTTTTATTTGACATTATTTTTATCAACATACGAATATACTAATAAAATTTTCATTTATTGCGCTGATTTATTTTTAAAAAATTGATTACTATCTATATAATATAAAAAAATGAATAATTTCAGAATTTTAAACATTACCTTCATTAATTTTATTAATCGCAGCGTGACGCGTGGTCACGCGAGTTCAGTGTTACACTTACCGTCAGATGTATTGAGAGCTCGTGTGTCTATCTTATACTATGTGTTTCAGGTCCGTCTCCTGACTGGGTGGTGGGAGTGAATGGTCTCGAGCTGTGCAACAAGGACTGCACCTGGGTAGAGTCCAAGACCATCGACCTGTTCCCTTATGATGCTGGCACTGACAACGGCATCTCGTACATGGTAACAAATTTTGTTCTTATTTAAAAGAAAAGTGAAGTGAGAAAAGAACTTACACCTGATGGTATGTGGCTACAGCGTTCTAAGGCCCACCTGCAGCCAATTTCAAACATAAAAGGCTACACATGTCTTGTCACCTGAGGATCAAGATGAAATGCCCCACTAGTACTACTTAGTACTTTTGAATTCGAACATATCACAGAAATCTAAATAATAAGGTAGTACCTTATTATTTAGACACACTAGATTTCTGTGGAACATACGTTTTGAAGTATTTTTACTGGTAACGTGACGCTGTATCTTAGTCCCTTCAAGTGATCATGCATCTGTATTTTTATTCTCAATCGATATCGGTTGACATTTTTTATCCAAAAATGGTAATAGGTGAAATAGGTATGTCTATGACATAAATATTTGTCAAGTTTATTGTACTTTTTATTGCCATTTTATCTAATGGATCTCTCAATAAATACTATTAATTTGAAGTTAACTTTTTATACAGCGGCCGGTTAAAAGGGCTGTACAAATTCATTGATAACTGCCACGAGTGAAGTACACATGATTTAAATTTAGATATTTTAATAGCTTTTTAATGTTTTCATAATTAAAAGTTTTTACCTTTAAACAATTAATTAAAAAATATCTTAGTTATTGGCTACTTCGTACACCTATTGTTTTCCTTTTGATGAAAAATGGCATGGTAATCCATGGGCTATAACACCCACTACTATCAGTCGACCTGTGTACTTGTTTGTCACTGTTTTTAACCCCCCAACAGAGGGGTGTTATATGTTTAACGTGTGTATCTGTGTGTCCATCTGTGGCATCGTAGCTCCCAAATAGATGTCTGATTTTGAATTTTTTTGTTGTTTGAAAAGAGACTTGATCGAGAGTGTTCTTAGCTATGGTTCAAGAAAGTTTTTTCAGTCATTTGAAAACCATAAGCTCTTTTTGTTTTGAGGCATAAAATTTTTCAATTTAATTTATTCTTAAAATAACAGGAAATCTGAGTGCATCAACAAAGGTCTCTGCCTTCTTTTTCATTGTAACAACGCCATAAATATTATAAGAATTAAGGTGTTATACTGATTTTCTGTTAATATACAAAATATCAGTTTATTTTTAATTTAATTGATATGTTTAATATTAGTGGGTTTTTTCGTATTATATTTATATACATTTTTTTGACACCAATCACATTATTTTTCACACGTCAGGGGTTGACTGGGAGAGATTGCCAAAAAGTTTTCAGTCCGATCTTTGTAATCCTTTTCATGGTATACATAAAAGTATTAATAAATAATTAAATTAAGTTCTTAACATAAGTTTTAAATTGATTGACATTTCAAAGACCTTTTACAGAAAAACAATTAAGTATGACTTTTCTTTTACCTTTGTTGGTTTTATTCATAGAATACTATAATACATACATAATATAACGGGGGAGTGGGCGGAGCCCGTGTAGGCACTAAAATGTCACTAACATGTCAATTCACACGTATAAATGTCAACACGAGATGTGTTTTGACATGTATGTAAATTATTTAGAAAATGCCAAATTGCACACTATATAATAAAATATGTATTAAATTTAAACGATTTTTTTAAATGATGATCTTGAACATTGATCAAAAGTCTAAAATGTGTAAATTTACTTAGTCTGTCAACAGCGAATCGGTTTTGTACGTAGACAGAGAAACCTATAGACAAATTGACGACGAAGAAGATAGATTTATGCATACGACTTGCATAGAAATGAGACAGAGCGGTGTGATTGTTTGTCCCTTTCTCCGAACAGGTTTTTTGACTTTGACAGTTCGTAGCGATCTAAGGAGTTTACAATTTGGTTTAAGTGGAAAAAAAGTGTTTTGTGAGCTTAAGATTGGTGAATCTTGTTCAGTTTAGTTCTTATAACAATTAAAATTTTTATCTAAATGTGTTATAAACATTAAGTTATAAACATTATTGTATAACCTAAAACTACGTTATCGTCCTTTCTCATTCGAGGCCACGCTAATCATTAGTCTATTGGTTTCTCTGTCTACGGTTTTGTAGTAGTGATAATATGACGTAATTGCTTGTATTTGTGCTCCCGGCGACGCCCATCGTCGTACAAAATAAGGTTGACAGCCATTCTATTGTGTATTGTGTAGTACTTTATGGTTTTATTAGTATTTATTTTATGTATAAGTAGGATTGTCCTATAGGTAGGATTTTACCACCCTTGATAGGCGAGTTGGCAGCCGCAAAGTTTTGTATTAGTTTGAGTTGTTGTTAGGAAGATGGTGCTGTCCAACTTCTGCTATAATTTCTCTCTGTCACCTATTACGACACCCACCTGAACATACGCTATGCTTACACCGCCACCTCACGGTTTCTATGGGATCATTATTTCATCATTATTTTTAGATAAACCATGTGTTCTTCGGTGAAAGAAAACATGAGGAAACTTGTATGTTTGAGGAATAAAAACATTTAAAATTCATTTGAAGTTCGAAGTCGTGGTAAACTTGTTCCATAACCATCTCAGAAATGCCATCCTATGCCTATCTGTGGGACGTATATAAATTAAAACTTTGATTTACTAAGATTGTATCATCCACAGTCACCAAACTCGGAAACTGTGCCTCGCGAGAAGATGTACCGGATCACCACCATGTACCCCGAGGATCCTCGCGCTCCCTTCTACAACCCCAACGTGAAGGAGATGAACCCCATGGCCCGCTTATATCTCACCAGGGATAAGCTCATTCCTAGGTCCTGCGATGAGGAGACTCTCCAGTCCCTTATCGTTGAAGAGACTGAGAACACACAGTCATCTAACCGACGTGAGTTCATAGCAAGGCGATGTTGCAGTTCCTTTATACTTATTTTATTTATTTATTTAATCTTTATTTTATAGTATAAGGGTGACAAATAAGCGCACAGCCCATTTGATGCTAAGTAGATGCTATCCTCGATTAAAAATCAAAATGCACTCTCACGTTGCCCCACAACCCACCTACGTTGTCATCCCTGAGGACTATAAATGAAATGCCTCGTTTTCAGTTAAAAGAATCTCAGGATCTCTACACTCACCATACGAATACGGCAGGTCCACTTACAATCAGGTGGACTGCGTTCTCGTTTTTTACCCTTATGTTAAAAACGTAAAGGGTACGTTTACGTTTTTATACCACTACTGAATAATTATTCGATTTGCGTACCGCTTACTGAAGTATTAACTGTTTTGTACTTTTATTTAGGTGTTACTTTTTTATACGTGGTAGAGCCACGCTGCAGCTATATTATGTTTGTAATAGCACGAATGGGTCGGCTCGACCGGGGAAGGACCACGCTCTCACAAAATACCAGCGTAAAATAGCAGCTTAATACTGCTGTGTTTCGTATGGTGAGTGTAGTGATCCGGAGACCCTTATTTACTGGAAACGAGGCATTCTATCTTAGTCTTCAGGGGTGACAACGCATCTGCGTTTTGATTCTTAATCGAGGATAAATGTACATGTCTGTGGGTCACAGCATCCACTTACCATCAGGTGAACTGTGTGCTCGGTTGTAAACCAATGCTGTAAAAAAATACGTTAGTGCTAGACAACTATGCCACCTGATGGTAAGTGGTGATGTAGTCGAAGATTGTGAAACGCACTGACCTAATTTATCCACTCTTGCCTTGAAGATATTGTAATGACATTGACATTGTAATCAAATGGAAAGACTGATGCTAGCAAACTATTTCACTTCATTGCTGCACGCATTAGGAGTAACGAAGCAAACGTGTGGTTGGTAAAGACAAAAATAGTTTGAATAAAACAGATGTACATTCTATACGTACACTTGCTGATAGGTGGGATTTTACCACTATGAGTCACTGGTTGAGCCTACATGTAATGTTCGTATAAATATTTAAAAAAGTTAAATACTAACAATAGTTTTAAGTATACATTATTGTTGTACTAACATCTATATGGACATAGTCTGAATCATCATTCATCATTACAGCCCTTCACAAGTCCACTGCTGAACATAGGCCTCCCCCAAGTAATGCCACAAAGCACGGTCCTGAGCCACCTGCATCCATCGACTTCCTGCGTATCTTACCAGGTCGTCACTCCATCTAGTGGGGGGTCGCCCTACATTACGCCTACCGGTACGAGGCTGCCACTCGAGAACCTTTCTTCCCCATCGGTTATCGGTTCTTCGAGCTATATGGCCGGCCCATTGCCACTTCAGCTTACTAATCAGTTGGGCTATGTCGGTCACTCTGGTTTTACTGCGGATATCCTCATTTCTGATATCACGCAGAGAAACTCCGAGCATAGCCCTCTCAATAGCTCGCTGAGCGACTTTGAGCGTCCTCATACGGCCAGCAGTGAAGGACCACGTCTCAGATCCGTAAGTCATCACTGGCAACACGCACTGGTTGTACAATCTATTTTTTAGAGATTGAGGTATACCTGACGAAAAGATATGTCGTAATTTCCCGAACGCTGCCCAGCCGAGTTTAATCCGTCGATTGACCTCTCGGTCGAAGTTGGACTTACCTAGTCGGACTATTTGTCCCAGGTAAACGTACTCGTCAACAACTTCGAGCATAGTGCTCCCAACAACTACCGGCATAGGTGTGACATGGACATTAAACATGATCTTTGTTTTGTCCATGTTCATCTTAAGACCTATCCGTTGGGAGGCACTATTGAGGTCATTGAGCATAGTGCTTAAGTCCTCCAGCGATTCTGCTATAGGGACTATATCGTCGGCAAATCGAAGGTGGGTGATGTACTCGCCATTGATGTTAATACCGTATCCTTTCCAGTCCAGTAGCTTGAAAACGTCTTCCAACGCTGCGGTGAAGAGTTTCGGGGATATAACATCACCCTGTCTTACACCTCTCTGCAGTTGGATAGGTTTCGAACTCTGGTTCTGTACTCGGATAGCCATCGTAGCCCCACTATACAAACACTTCAGCATTTCGATATACCGATAGTCAACTTGGCACCGCTGAAGGGACTGTATCACCGCCCAAATTTCGACAGAATCAAAGCCTTTCTCATAGTCCACATACGCCAGTCCAAGTGGCAGATTGTACTCTTCTTCTTCTGTACAATCTTGTGGTCTTCTGTACAATCTGCCGCAGGGTACGTATGTGGTCTATGGTACTGAAGCCTTTTCGGAAACCGGCTTGTTCGGGAGGCTGGAAGTCGTCGAGTCTGCGTGCGAGACGATTCGTAATGACTCTCGAAAACAGCACGTAGACGCGGCTCAGAAGGGAAATCGGTCTGTAATTCTTCAAGAGAGCGTTGTCGCCTTTCTTAAAGAACAAGACCACCGCACTTATGTTCCACGCCTCTGGAGTAGTGCCACCATGGAGGACGGAATTGAAGAGCTTCTGAAGGACTTCAAGTACAGGTGTTCCACCCGCTTTCAGAAGCTGCGCTGTAATTCCATCCTCGCCTGGGGCCCTGTCGTTTTTAAGGTGCTGGAGAGCCATTCTAATCTCGCTTAGACTGACGTCCGGGATATCATAGGAATAGTGTCGGATAAGACTTGCTCTTGGATCGTTACTCACACTTGCGTGTGGCTCCAACGATGATGTGTACAGCTGCCCATAGAACCTCTCAATCTCACTCAAAATCTCAGGTATCCCGGAAACGATGCTGCCTCACTCAGTCTTCAGCTTTGACAGAAGGCTCTACTGCACAGAGCCCTGGTTTCGCTCGATCGCTTATTTAATATGAGCAGTATTAAAGTTGCGTAAGTCTCGCCGCATGCATTTGGAGATCTGTCTGTTCAGTTGCCTGTATGCTGTCAAATCTGTTGACGATTGCAGCCTCATCTCCCGTCTAACAGCCATGAGATTATGAGTGTGATCGGAGAGTTTTTGTGTTCTTCTGCGGCGGGTCTTGCAGAACTTAGCTCCGACCGCATGGACAGTTTCACGAGCTTGTCATTCATATCGTCCACTGCATTGCAATCTTGTAGGCACTGAAAGTGGTTACGTAACTCGAGCTGAAAGGTTTCGGGATTCCACCGCAGAACACAAGCCTCCCCCACAGACTGCCTCATAGTGGGGATTATTTCCTATAGCTGCCACGCTTGGCAAGCGGGTTGGCAACCGCTGTTTTTTACTTTAGTCGTTATAAGGAAGACCCTGCTGATTTGTTTTGCTTTGTCACCTCTAACGATGAATGATGTCACCCACGGGATGCTATTGTTAGTGAATATTCCACAGTAACCGCCTCTACACGGTACGAGTGGTATTATTAGTGGTACTAATAAATATATAGTGTGTATATGTGTGCAGCGGAGTGCGCGGTGTCGGAGTGGAGCGCGTGGTCGGCGTGCTCGGTGTCGTGCGGCAAGGGTCTGCGCATGCGCACGCGCGAGTACCGCATGCCGCAGAAGGCCCAAATGTTCTCCTGCGACCGCCAGCTCCTCTCCAAGGAGATGTGCGTCGCCGATGTGCCAGAGTGCGAGTGAGTCGCTTATCTTATGCTGTCTTCTATTCGATTTCTTCACAAAATTCTATAACTGGCTTATCCCGTTATACGTTACTGCCTTGTCTCCTAGACGTATCGCGTCTTTAACGTTGCCCGTATCGGTCTGGATATGGTACGTATGTCATATAAACAAGATAGTTATGACAGTTTTCTAAAAAACGTTAACATTAACAAAAGATTTATGAAATCAATCAATCAACCAATTTATTTATTCGTTTTCACAGGTAATACGGTTGACACTTTTATATTGTTGTACTTCTGTGAAACGCTACACAACATAAGAATTTATATAGTCACACAAATCAAAGTAAAAATTAAATTAAGTAGAGTTAAAATAAAATTTATTAAATTACACATTTAAATTATTACTAATTAGAAATTCATTGATATTATAATAACATTTATCTATAAGAAATTTACAAAGAGATTTAAATTTTTGCACATTAAAACATTTTATGTGATCAGCTAATTTATTTTATAATTTAGGGGCCATTTTAACAACACTTTTTTCATAAGGCCAGTTTTACATATGGTCTGGAGTTTTTGTTTCCGAGGACGAAGGTTAACAGAAAATGGTTGTACACTTTATCAAAAAGTTACGGATTATACTTTTAAAACATACACGATACTAGTATATAAATACATTACTACCATATGAGATCTAAAGTATGGTATGCAACTTTCTGTAGGCTTTATACCACATATAGCTTGTTTTTGAGCTTTCATGTGATATGATAGTAGGGGTCGCAAACCTGGATCCCGAATCTCGAAAATACTGGGATACCGGACTGAAACGAAACGTATATAACGTATTTACGACTTTTCGGTATTTCATTATAAATCTTTGTTAAATAATATTATGTCAAAAAATTAAATAGCCCACGCTTTTCGCGTGGTGGATACTATGACAACACGGCTCGACTATGCAACGCAAGTCGCGCGACTACACTCTGGAGTGAGTGAGAGAGAGTAGGTACTTACTCCCGAGTCCTGAGCCGACGACGAATCCGCCCGCTCGCCTATACAACTAATAACGGTGCTAGTGTAATGATTGCATATGGAAAAGAAGCAGCACTTTGCCGCAGCACGATGCCTTGCTCATGGTATACAGTTAGCGATATTAGACGTGCTCTATAAAGAAGAAAACAGTTCCCAAACTCAACTAAGAGAACTGGAAGTTCACGATTCTTATGACTTTGTTTTGGAATGATATGGAAAAGATTACTATGACGAGGGAATGACTGGGTGTTACCATCTTCTTGGGATCCTATAAATTATAATATTAAATCCCAAAATAAGCATACAATTGCTAGACTTCAAGATACGCCAATTCTGCGTACATCGGACCAAAAACTAATAATTGTTAACTGAAGGTAGCCGTGTTAAACTATGACACTGCGACGGGAATATAAAATAAGTTAAAATACGCAATAAAATTCGTGAAATTTAGTTTCATTTAAACTTCTTCAATTCATTTAAAAGTAAATTTATAACATTCTTTGCTATCTAATTTAACAGAACCAGATTTTCTTCTTCTCTAGAGATATCGCTTTTGGAACCGGTTGATTTTAACGTTCATAGAAGTTTTAGATGGTCGTAAACTGAAGAATGTATATGACTTTTTCTAACTACACCATAGAACAAAGAAAGCTCTTACTCGATTTCCATGAAAAAAAGTGAAGAAAGAAAAAGATAAATCACCCAAAAGCATTTTATGTTTTTTTTAAAGTTGAGGATAATGAAGAAGTTTATAAGAACATGAAGAAGTAAGCCTATGAAGAAGTTACTTAGCAGGAGTATTTTATGTTATTGTTAAGGTTGATTACTGGATGTTTCTTATATTTAAATAGTTTAATATAACTTAGCAGCAGTGAGTCATTTATTAAACTTTAAATAAATGATTGATTTTTTTTAAATAAATATGATTTTCTTATCATATCACTCTTATATTGATTGGCTGGTGACAATTCCCTTATGAAAATTACGGTTACATTACATATTTTTAAATATTTTCCTGACTATGTTAAAAAAAAACGAAAATACCGAAACTACCGAAATCTCGGTATTTATTAAAAACTAATACCGAAAACACCGGTTTTTGAAAAGAGGTCCGGTATTGCAACCCCTAGTTGATAGTCCCCAAAATATGAAAACATATCGAAGGGTCGAAGCCACTATATAATGTTTTTATTTTATTTTTCAAGGAAGTTGTTACTTTGTACTATCTTTAAATTTTTATGGTCATTTTATGGTTTTATACGTGGTATAACTCCTTTTTTGTTTTAGAGGCTGTCTCGCTCTGGCCTTTTTTTCTGCTGCCAAATAGCAGTGCTTGTATAACTGTCTGTCTGAAGGTTATATAGTGATAGTATAATTACAGATCGTGGCATTATACCTTCGTATTCGGATGTGACACGTCTGTAGTTATCTTTGTTTAAAGTAGGTTGTACACCTGCAGTCTATAGGATCCAGTAGTCACGTACCGTCCGGTGAACTGTATCCCTAGCACGAACATTTTGATCTATCGTATAGTTTACGCCACAGTTTAGTTTCAGTTAAATTTTGTATGGGAGTTTGAACAGCGCTCCGTGGGCGTAAAAGCTCGTCAGTCACAACAGTTCAGTATAAAAAAAATTCAGTCCTTATTTTTAATTAAGCATGGTGTTACTTACTCCAGTCAACTTACTTCGAAGCCGTTAGTTATTTTAAATTCCATTAGGGACAACAGCGCAAACGAAGAAGAGGAGGAATCAAACGCAGCTCCGATCGAAGAGTTGGAGGGAGTGTGTAAAACGACGGAGTGGGGCCCGTGGAGCGAGTGCTCGGTGACTTGCGGCATCGGCATCAGCACCAGAAGGAGGAGCTTCCTCAACCACATGGGCTACAAGAAGTGCCCTCTGGTGCCCACAGGTATGCAACATGTGTTTTATAATCTACGGCCATTGCGCATTATTTCGAATCTGTGATATCTTCTTAAAGTATTCATTTAAATGACGGTTGAGGTAGTAAAAAATAATTTTAATCTACAGTAGCGAACCGTCCCGACTTCGCCTTAATAGAATCTATTAACGGGCGTTATTTAGATTTAAGATGTTTCGTATGGTGAGTGTAGAGATCCGGAGACCCTTTTTACTGAAAACGAAGCATTCCATCCTAGTCTTCACGGGGGACAACGCATCTGCATTTTGATTCTTAATCGAGGATAAATGTCTATGGGCCACAGCATCCACTTACCATCAGGTGGACTGTGTGCTCGTTTGTCACCCTTATTCTATAAAAAAACACGTTTTTCGTTTAAATCTACAAAAATATTGTTTCTGTTTAATTAATACGAAATTCTTTTTTCTTCTTGATACCAGTAATTTTGTTACCGAAAGAAATTGGAAAATAATAATGAAAATCCCAGTTTACAATAGTGAAATTCAAAACGTTTCCTGAGGATTTTAATCTCAAGTTAATAAAAAAATCAAAGTGATAAGTTTACTTTTTCGAAAGATATCTTGTTCTCACCATACTGACCTAGTAACGTCCATATGAAATTATTTTCAATAATCTTTTTTTAATAATAATCGAAATAAATAATCTTCTAACTACGTCCGAAGTATTAATTGGAATCTCCTCTTGCTATTGGTGTAATTTATTATTATATAAGTCATGGCGTTATACAGGCATCTAATTTGAATACTTTTTTTTAATTTTTGTCTGTCTATCTTGTTCCAGCAAATGTTCGGAAAGTTTTATTTTCATCAATTAGCTGAACTAATTAAGATAAAACTTCAGTATACAGATAACGACAAAAAATAAAAATAAAAGTTCAGCTAAACCAATTAAAATACCTTGAATTGTTTGAAGGGGCACAATTATATAATAAAATAAACCGCTTAAATTAAGGAATCGTAGTCAAATGTAAGCTTCAAAAAATTACTAAAATATCATATTATAAAATCTATAAAATAATGGACTTACTATTAAGTTAAAAATATTAATGATAATTACAAAGTATTTTAAATATATTTAAAAAGGCGCAAATAGGGTATGAAGTTATTTTTATTGTTCATTACTAATTCGAATTAGAATAAAATATTACTACTAAATATGTATCTCAAGCCGCTTCTTGTAACTTGTTGAGCGTATTTCAACTTTATATCTGTGATTGTATCTTTCTCCGACGCTGTGAGTGTCTAAACTGTATTTGTAATGTACCCCCAACTTCTGCGTTTCCTCAGATATTGTTATAACTTATTAGAAAGAAAGAAAGAAAGAAATAAATAATTATAAATATAATAATTAATAAGTGAACTTTGTATTCTTAATGAGAATAAAGTTCTTAAATCATAAACCATAAGATAAAGCTTTTCAAAGCTCGAACAGATAATTGGTTAGTAGGGATCTAGGCTGTATTTTTACGGAAAACTTGAGGATTTTTTAAACATCAATTTACATTATATATAGTAGTAATAACCTGGCACTTGCTTGTCCACCAGAGGAGAACCGCAAATGCATGGAGCCGCAGTGCACCGAGCAGGAGAGGGACGTGTCGGACCCAGCTTGTCCCACCACAGAGTGGGCGGGCTGGTCGCCGTGCTCTGCATCGTGCGGGCGTGGCGTTCGATTCCGTACGCGACTGCTTCTGGTGCCAGCCGAGCGCCAGCAGGACTGCTCCTCGAGGGTCGAGCTGCTGCAGCAACGACCTTGTCAGGAGCGCGAGGATTGCTCCATCGACATGCTCACCGCTAAACGTGAGTATTCTATGAATTTGCTGTAGTTCGCTCTGAAGAGTGTCATCATCATACTTTTGAATACTCCACTGCTGAATATAGGCCTCCCCCAAAGAATGCCGCATAGCATGGCCCTGATCCACCTGCATCTATCGATTTCCCATGTCTCTTACCAGGTTTAGTGGGGGGCCGCCCTACACTTTTCTTTCTCGTTGGTAGTCAGTTCTTGGAGCTATATGGCTGGCCCATTGTCACTTCAGCTTACTGATCCGTTAGGCTATGTCAGTTACTTTGGTTCTGCTGCAGATATCCTCATTTCGTAGTCTATCACACAGAGAAACTCCAAGCATAGTCATTTCTATAATAAAAGTGTAGAGAGCCCATAAAAGAGCTCCATAAGAAAATTACATTTTATCTTAGTCCTTACGCTGATATTGCGACTGGCGGCCATTTTAGTAACGTAGTCAAACTGTCAGTACCGTTCGCAAGGTAGACGTGAAATGATTATTAAAGTGAACAATTATTTTGTAAAGAAGAAAGAGTATAACTTTAACTATGCATTAACTGTTGGGCATACGAGTATGCATTTTACAGTGGTAGAGCCACGCTGCGGTTATATTTTGGTTGTAGCACGAATGGGTCGCCTCGTCCGGGGAAAGATCACGCTATCACAGAATATAAGCGTAAAATAGCAGCTTAATACTGCTGTATTTCGCATGGTGAGTGTAGAGTTCCGGTGACCCTTTTTCATAAAGCGGTGAAGTATGTAAGGGCAACTTACTTTATCCCCTATCATTCTCAGAACGTTGTTGGGAATTCCCTGAACTCTGCGCACCAGAGATGCACATATTTTACGTAAACTTGCGTTAAAGCAATTCCGATGCGTTTCTGTTGCAAGACAACCCCTTTCAAGATGCATTAATATATTGAATCCGTAGGGTCCGAAGGCCCGATATGTATATTCCCTCCACAGGCTGCACTTGTATTGAAAGGAACAATATGGTCTGTTTTTTTTTATATTTTGTAAACTAAAGTTAGATATATTATAAAACGACATCGGCTGACAATGGATACCAATACATGAACATAATTTAAAGGAATCAAATGTGAATACGAAACAATTTTTAAGAAGCTATAAATAAGTACGAAAAAAATTTCTTTTAGTAAAATTAAGGGTAACAAAATGCAAACTCTTTACCTGATAGAAAGTAAATAATCTGGTCCATAGTCTATATCAATCCTCTATTAAACCCCGTCACTACCACACTAAGAATATCTCCTGTATTGTGAAGTCATTTAATTTCTTCATTAAAAACAACACTGCTTTAGTCGTAGGCATCTGACTAAGCGCTTAGCTACTCATTGATTAAAACTACTTTTACGGTTTTTATCGCGTTTAATTTTAATTATTTTTATTTTTAATTCCCGATGTTTGGGGTGCTTTCCAGCACCCATGGTCACGGGGGACTTATAAAAATGGTAAATATAAGAAATCATTACGCTTAGCTACTGTCAAAAAAGTTAACTAAAGAGATATTTTAAGAACTCCTTAGCTGTTACGTCTGCGTAGCCTGCACTATTGTCGACGTAAACTTGATCTTACATTAATGGCTTTCCATTAGGACACATTATCGAGTCTGGTAGGCAAACAAATTAACACACACGCTTCTAGAAATCAAACATGCAAACAAGGTGTAGGTAAATGTTGCAATGGTGCACGCTCTGATTATTCCATATAAACCATTCAATTACTTCCATTACAGCCCTTCACGACTCAATTGCAGAACAGGCGTCTCCCAAGGAATGCCATGCTGACATCTTACATGTCTTACCCAGTCGTCACATCGTCTAGTGGGCCAAGGGGCCGCCCTACGTTGGTCGGTTCTTCGAGCTATATGGACGACTAATTATACCGCTCATGAACCTTTCTTCCCATCGATTGTCAGTTCTTCAATCTTTAGTTCTTCTATTGTGTTTGGAATAATTCTTAAACATTGTAACGATCAATTCCAAAATCTAATCAGCTCTTAAACATACAAACTACGTGGATTGATGCGAACCAATCTTTTCTTTTTGCACACACCGTGCGGAACACAGCGGCATTGAACTGATATCCCACAACGATCCATTCATACTACAACCATAATACAGTTACAGCATGGCTCTACTACGTATGTAATCTCAAATTCAGTATCTAACTTACAAAAATATAACTTTATTCGGCTATATTGTGGGTATATTAAGCAAAATTAATAAAATCAAGTAATTTTTGCGAACACCTTTACAGTAGGTTATTAAAAATGCTTTTTAAAAAGTGCTTAATAAAAAAGGTAAATCAGATTATAGTAATAACAGAATAGTAGGTTATCTTCTAAGAAATGTACCGAACGTGTGCCTACCAAATATGTGTGTGTGCCTGGCACGTGACATTACGGACTTGTACGCACGAGCTGCAGCACGCACACAACGACACTTGCTAAGTCGGAAAGATCAGTGAAAAAGAGAAGTGGGGGACGGCTACCGTCGCGCTCTATAATATACTTTGTTTGGGAATTTATTGACTTTTAAATTAATAAAGTTTTGCTGGTAGTCTTTTTTTCGCTGTTTTTCTCTTTTTGTAAAATAAATTAATATCTGCGTTTGTTTATGTAAATTAGCTTTTTATTAATAAGTTATATTACTATATCTGTACATAGATACAAACCTCATAAGTACATTAATTATTACCATATCACATCAGTACAAATTAATTTTAAGCATTAAGTCTGATCTAAGACCATATGCTCAGTGTCAATTTATCGTATTTTAGTTATTCGGTATTTGTTGCAATGTACAGCTGGAATTTCTTTTGACAACCATTGATTCTTAGAGAGGAAACTAAAGAATATCATGCATAGGTATAAATGCACACTAATCCGTATGTATTGTTTGTAAATATTATAACTACTTATAAATCTAAATGAGACTTAGCTATTAAACAAAAACACAGTGCCAACCCTGCAATCGCGGGAGTTTCCTACTATTCTGTTTCTACTATATGCTAGATTAAACCCCAGTATAAATATCTCAATTTTTATTTTTATTTCCAGCTGTATAAAATGTTAACACTTTAAAAAAGATTGTGTTTCCTACTGGTGTAACGTTTAGTACAATTTTGCGTAATCGACAATGTTTACTTAAAATAAAACAAAACATTTAAATACCGTACCCATACAACATCGTAATACTCACCGACCACGTAACATAAGCGGATTAGTAAACGTTAACCAGATGCCACGCACCCTTGATGATGCTTTCGTCATTAATTAGTTGTTTTAGTCATTACACATTGCTCCATCTTTGACTTCGCAAAATTTCAATCTCATTCTCTAGGAATCAAGAGTGCCAAGTGGGGGACACTTGCCACTCTAGATCCCCTGGTCTAAAAACAGAAGTGGGCCATTGTTTTTACCCGACTACTCCAGAAGGAGAATATTGTTTCGCGTGTTAGTTATCGAAGTGACATAGGGTATAAAAATTTTCTTAAACTTTTTCAACGTTATAAAAAATCATTTCAATTTATATTAAGAATTACAAGTTATTGCTTAACTACGATCATACATTCCGGTGTGGTAAAACAGTCAGTATAACCTATATATATATATATATATATATATATATATATATATATATATATATATATATATATATATATATATATAATAGTTACACATATGTATAATAGGTACATACCTATTACGAGGCCTAATTCATCTTAGTCCCCGGGGGTAAAAAGTTACCCGCATTTTCATTTTTAATCGAGAATAGATGTAGATGGCTTCGGGCCACACCATCCACTTACCATCTGGTGAACTGTGTGCTTGTTTGTGACCATTATTTTATACAAAAAACGAGAATCAGTCGGGCAGTGTATAAATTCCGTGTACTAGGTACAGTCCGTGAACTCTGACACGGGTTGTAAACTACCAAATCGACCAAAGCGTCCTCTTCTAGTACGTCGTGTATAATCTTCAATGAATATAGCACACTAATTTAGTACTAACCTATTAAAATCTAAAGTTACAGCCTATATACTGTTCCACAGCTGGACACAGACCTTCTTTCATTTCTGAGCGTTTTAGGGCAAGGAAGTGTCCGCCGCGATGCCCCAATGCGTGTTGGCGAACTTCACATGTCTTCGAAATATTTTTTTTTATTTCCTAGACATGCAGTATTCCTCACGAGTCACGATGTTACGACCCCTAAAATTGCAATTAACAATTTCATTGGTGCCAGCGGAAGTCGAAGCCGGGTTGTAGCGTACTGTGAAATTACAGCGAGCGCTCATCATCTGAGCTACCACGTCACCTTATTTATTATGATTAATTATTAATTATAGTATTGACGTGAATACATTGTATGCAACTAATTTTACGCATTTTGATTCCGGAAGTTTTTTGCTCTTTGTAATCCCTCATGGTCATGCGTGCTTTACAGCTATATAATAGCATAGAATAGAATAATTTATATTTAATATAATTTACAAAAGTAGTTATTGAAAGTTATTTAAGCTTTACCGTTGGTTCGGATGGATATCTCTGTCCTGGGAAGAATCAGCAAGAAACCCAGCGGGACGTTTAAAAAAATTACAATATAATTTGATACAATAAAGTATGAAAACATTTAGAAACAGCGTGTTAGTGATCACCTCATTTCCAAGGGTTAATCGTGTACTCTTTAGTAGTTATAATTTTTTTGAAGGAGAAGGGGCAAACGAGCATATGGCTCACCTGATGGTAAGTGCAACACATTTTTAAAAAGGAGTAGGCTCTTTTCTTGAAGGTCCCTAAGTCGTATCGGTTCGGAAAAATCTCTAGTGGTAGTCGACTCCACAAGGAAGTTGTGCAAGGAAGAAAACTTCTTTTAAATCGCACGGTGGTGGATCACCAGTCATCCAGATGGTACGGATGGTATCGCGAATTTTGTCGCGATGTGCGATGGCGAAATTGTGCGGCTGGAATTAGTAGTAGAATTAGAGATGCAAAATCTCTTGAGTGCAGAGGGGAGTTTTGTGCGATGTGCGATGGTGAAACAACCTACACAATAAACCTAAACAATTTTTGCTTAATAACAATTAAAATGAAAATTCTTGATACATTTATTGTACACGTGAGATGTTTCAATGTGACAGGTATATGCATGGAGCTGCCGGAGCAAGGGCCGTGCCGCGGGCTGTACCAGCGTTGGGCGTTCGTGGCAATGAAGGGCATGTGCATCCCCTTCAACTATGGAGGCTGTCGGGGCAACCAGAACAACTTCTTGACGCAGGAGGACTGCATGAACACTTGCAAAGTTGTACTGGGTAAGTAATAATCTATGATTGTAAATAAAATTGAAGTTTCCGTCTGTAATATTAAAACAGCTGGCTTCTTTTAAGAGGATTGTGAAGTACACACCTACGCGGCGCGACGATATATATCAGACTATAGGCTATAGACTAGAGTCCCCTTTTACTGGAAACGAGGCATTTTATCTCAGTCCTCAGTGGTGACAACGCATCTGCATTTTGATTCTCAATAGAAGATAGATGCAGATATCTATGGGCCATAGTCGAGCACACAGTCCACCTGAGGGTAAATGCACCCTTACCCTCAGGTGGACTGTGTGCTCGTGTGTCACCCTTATTTTATTAAAAAAATGTAGATTGACTATAGCCGAACGAAAAGAAAGAATTGTTTTGGTTTATTTAAGAAACTACAAGACCTTGACCGCAGCGAAGCTAGTCACGCGCGATGGTGGCCTTGAGCCGATGGCGGACGACTCAACTGTCAAATAATAAAACATTTTATTTTTCCAGTAGCGTTGGCTTGGCAATGTGTTGAAACTAAGAAGTCTATTTATATTTTTTTTTAAATAATGTGACAAACGAGCACCATTCCACCTGATGGTAAATAGATACGTTGTCACCCCTGAGGACTAAGATGGAATGCATGGTTTTCAGTAAAAGTGGTCTACTGATCTCTACACTCACCATACGAAGCGCAGCAGCATAAGTATGCTATTTTTCGCTTGTTTATTATACCCGGTAGGGGGCGTTATTCTCGAGATCCAGGTATCACCCGTGCAAGTCGAGGCGGATCGCCAGTAGATATTGTGAAATATGGATTTAGACATACAAAATTGTTTTATTAGGCGCCATTAATATGTTTTGAACGCCACGTGCTTTGATAAGTCAATAGTAAATAACTGGAGCGTGTGGGAATATACTAGTTAAATACTAATCAATCATAGCCACTGGCGCGGTGCCAGCCTCTGCTGCCAGCTGCGCGTCCCTTGACTCGTGCACCAGCTATAGATAGTTCGCTGCAATACAATTGATACCTCGTTAATATATGTAGAAAACATGTATACATTTTATAAGTCGATATATGGAATTTCCTTTGATGTTAGCTTTTTCTTATGAAATTAAAGTTATAAGCGACTTTAGCGTTCACCAAAGAAGGCTACTGGTGTGTTGTCATCTCTGAGAACCAAGACGAAATGCCTCACATCCTTTTATCATAGAGGCTCCCTATACAGTATACACTTCAGATCGGAACTGTTTATATATATCCTTTATTTATTTACATAACATAAACACTCACGTCTGTCACCCAGAGGGGTAGGCAAATTACGTGGTATGTTGCTATGCAATTACATAGCATGGCTCTACCACGTATATTTCTGACCCAATGGTCAGAAATATACGTGGTATTCAATAATGAAGCATTAATTTATTGACTTACTTGCAGTCCTAACTTTTAATAATATTTGTTGTGTACTTGTGAGAAGTGAACCGAATAATTAGTTGTTGACGATAGTGTTGAGCGAAGTATATTGAATAAGGGATAATCCATTTTGCAAAGCCAAGTTAATCCATACTTTATGTATAAGCTGTATAAGCTGTCAAGTGTACATTATCTTGACGACTGACATAAGTCTCGAGCTTACTTACCTGACAGACATCGGCTTACAGGGATCGGGAATTACGTTTATTATGTACGCATTTTACCAAGGTCAACGAAACGATAAAAAAGTAAATCAGTATTCTAGTAAATCACACAGTGATGGACCCTCTGTGTGATTTACTAGAAGTGTTGTACCTCACACAACTTCCTTGTGGATTCAGCTACTCGACTAAGAATCATTTCAATGTTGCCAATGGAGTCTGACCTTGGCTATAAACTTTAAACCGACCACATTAAAATTCGAAGTCAAAACTATTTTATTCAATTTGGTCTAGTCAAAAGCTCTTATGTGTGTCAAAGGGTACCTACAAATTTACAAAGGTTATGTTGATTTCGTTTTAATTTCCCAACCCACGGGACGATATGGGGTAATGAACATTCTTACATGGCCACTATAATTTTTAATTTTTTATGCCTTTACTCAAATGAGACTTTTCTTATCAGCATATTGGTTCTTAATAGAGGATAAATGTATATATCTATGGGCCACAGCATCAACTTACCAACGGTTGGACTGTGTGCTCGTTTGTCGCCCTTATTCCATAAAAACCAAAAATAAATATAAATAACAATCAATACAGCACATTGACTTACCAAATCGCAAATATTTGCCCTTGTAGTGACTTTAGCTTTACAAGCCGATAACCTGTTTCACTCACGCAAAGAGTTGGTCGCCTTTTTTGTAAAAATTAATACATTAAGATAGGTCGTTAGATACTTATTTCATTAGCTTTATCATATTTATGCCTAATTCTTAACGTCAACCCAGTCGCTTCTTATTTTTAGTCTTAGACGGTTATTTCACATTTTAATTTTACGCCGTCCTGTTGCGTAATGTGTATTCTGATCGTAAGCGACACAACTTCTCCCTTCAAAAGCCTAAGCGATACTAACGGAGCGACAGGAATCGAGCTTGAAGACGCCGATAGTTTAGGTAATTTCTTTTTACAGTGAAAATAATGGTATTTAAAAAAAGTTAATAACATAAGCACTGCTTTATAGTTAGTTCAGTTAGTATGCAAAGTTTCATGATATTATTTAAAGTATTTTATGAATAACAGCGGTTTATTGTTCAGTTTGGAGGTAACTTTGGATTTTTTTTCTATCGAGAAAATTTTACGGAATCATGTTTTCGTCTAACATAGTCCTTAACATTAATCCTCAACTTTACCATATATTTATTTCAAAATTAATGCTGCAGTACTTTCGGCATAACGGAGGATCTTGCTAAGCCATTTGAGGTTATATTTCCCCTTAAGAAAACCCTGCTGCCCATTTCCTGGTTTGTTTCCGTCTGTCGCCTATTACGACACCCACGGGACCATATGGGGTAGTGGATATTCCTACACGACCACTACACGAACAATTTACTATTTTTGCTTAGTCTTTAAAAATGATCCTGTTGTCTGTATGTGGACGTAGGCTAGACACTGACGTCACGCGTGAGATCACGCACAAATCTCGGGCCATTCTCATCTCAGTACCGTACTTAAGAATGAATACGCCAATTTATGGGTCATAGTCTCGTTGTCAAGTTTTTATGTTGCTTATGTCATACTTTTATATTCACGGACTTGAGCATTTTATGTGGTAGAGCTACGCCTTATTGTGGTCTTTTGACTGCCACGTTGGGCCAATGGTCAGTGGCGACTACTGATCATGTGGTTCAGGATTGGATTCCGGGTAATGTAAAAATCCATACGGATTTTTTAAAGTGAAAACTTATTTACAAGAGTTGGGCGATTTTCAGATGAATAAAATCTTCGCGTTCAAGTTCGCGTCTCAAATTTGCCGTCAATATTTAGCAGTATATTTAATTTTTATTTCATCATCATCATCATTACGGCCCTTCACAAGTCCACTGCTGAACATGGGCCTTCCCCAAGGAATGCCACAAAGCACAGCCCCGAGCCACCTGCATCCATCGACTTCTTGCATGTCTTACCAGGTCGTCACTCCATCTAGTGGGGGTCGCCCTACATTACGCCTACCGGTACGAGGCTGCCACTTGAGAACCTTTTTTATTTATTTATGAAATTTGAATTATTGACATTGATATTAATTTAAAAATAAAAATAAATGTTTTTTAATCGTTTAAATGTTTACATCTGTCGGTAGACCCCCCGGTGACTGCCATTTTTTAAAACTATATAGTTGTTATTAGTAATACGCTGCTGCTCAGCTCCTGGTTTGTTTCTATCTGTCAGCTCCTGCGACACCCGCGGGACGTTATGGTGCAGTGGATGGACACCGTCACTCAATTACATAGATTGTCACAAAGATCCTGTGAAAATAAATAAATTAAGGAATAAGAATATCACGTCACCCTTTACAAAAATTGGCTATCACTGTCAAAAATTATTGTATTGTGTTGATGCTGATTACATAATTAAAAAAAAACATCTAGTTAAGTAAGTCAAAGGTTCTGGATTCGAAACTGAACGGATAAGTTTTTCTGTTGATGACTGTCTAGTGGCGATGTAAAAGTATCTACTACACTACCCCATTAGTGGTGGGTCGTTGTCGAAATTTTGACGATCGAAACGCAACCGATTTCCCGACGACGATAACGGTTGCAGAAAACGATCGTCGTTGCTACTGATTTGAAGACGGCTTAGAGGACAAAACTAATCCAACATGGAATAGAATTGCGTTTCCATCGAGTGAAATGCTTGCAGTTTCACAACTTTTTACAACTATCAACGATTTTCGACTTTACTAACGTTTGTAAAAGATTACAATGATTACGCAACGAGTGAAATAGATAGTTGAATCATTGCGTTCTCGACTGTACTGTACTTTCATAGGCGTAAAATAAAACATCGCATCAAGTAATTCGAAGACTGGTTTGTACAACGAAGACTGTTTGAACCCAGGACATAAAACGGTTTCATCGTCGAAGAACACAAAACGGTCTTTGTAAACGGTTCGTCGTCGCAACGCCCACCCCTTCTCCATATTGTCCCGTGGGTTTCATACAGGCGGCGGGGGGAAACTGAATCAGGAGATGGGCAGCAACATATTTTTTAAAATAAGGGTAACGAGCAAGCACACGTCTCACCTGATGTTAAATGGATGCTGTGGTCCACCAACATGTGCGCGTTTGTTACCCTTATTCTATAACAAAAGTGCTCGTCGGTGAAGGAACTACGTGAGAGTAAATGAAACTTTTCCGGAGACGAACTAATTTCTTCAACAATCCTCTAGAAATGAGAAGAGGTCTATACCCAACCGTGGGACGTATTTCAGCTGTAATTTTTGTTTTGCTTTATCAGTTTGGCTATATTGGTTGGTGTAAGTAACAGTGTCTGTTAAGCTCCTTTAAGTTATTCTCTCACTCTAATCTTAATTTTATTTTATGTCAGGTGGCGGAGCTTCAGTGGGCGTGATCCCGCAGGGGAACCAGTTTGTCCCCGCGGCGAGCACCAACTACCCAGGCCTTACCATCAGCTCTATAGTGCCGGTACCTCCCGCGTTGAACGGTAATGAAATTATTAATTTAATATTTAAGAATAGCTTATTATCATGTTTTTATTTTATTTGGTTTTTTCATCAAATGTAGTCATCAAGTAGACACTTGACAAGCGACAGTAACCCAATGGTTCTCAATGTGCCATCGGTGCGGACCGCGAACTCATAAAGTTGCGGCTTCGTATCCGCCATTCAACTCCTGTCGTGAACCACTAATAACACAAGCATTTAAGCTTGCCGGGGGTGGTTAAAGGGGATATAAGCAAGATAAGAAGCTTTTTTTGTCAGAATATGGTACATTACTGTTGTTACAAAAGAATTTCGATCCTAAATATTCTGCCGTTTCCGGCGTACATATATTTTCAGATAGATAATTTTTCGAATAAAGTAGAAAACTAAGACATTAATTATTATATAGTACAAAGATACTTGCAGCAATATTTATGGAATCTAAATCTATATAAAACAAGAATATCAATCAATTCATAATATTTTTAGTTAAAACATTACAAAAAATTAAATTCAGCAATTCAATAAATACAATTCGAGTCAAATTTATCATTTAAGAAGTCATTTATTGAGTAATAACATTTATTTAAAAGAAATTGAAATAATTTACTTTTAAAGATTCCTATATTCATCCTTTTGAAACAAACAGGCAATTTGTTGTAAACCTCCATGTTAGCCACTCGTCTTAACCGATACAAAAGAAAGACAGATTTATCTAACTTTTTACATAGGTTATCAATATGTGTCTTCCAATTACAGAACTTGTCTATTGTTACACCTAAAAAGTTAGTATGGTCAACTTCTTCGATTATGTTTTTTCTAGTTCCTAGTTTTAATAGCGTTCTTAATAGCAGAATTTTTAAAATTAAAATAGTAGTTTTTTTATTTTATTCAATTAATCAAATGCTACGAATTTAGTACTTCATTTTTTTATAGAATAAATGTGACAAACGAGCACACAGTTCACCTGATGATAATGAATGCTGTGGCCCATAGACAATATATATTTATCCTCGATTAATAATAAAAACGCAGATACATTTTCACCAATGAAGACTAAGATGAAATGCGTCGTTTCCAGTAAAATGGGTCTCTGTTGTTCTACACTCCCTATACAAACTACAGTAGTATTAAGCTGCTATCTTACGATGGTATTTTGTGAGAGCGTGGTCCTTCCCCGGTCGAGCCGACCCATTCGTGCTAAAACCATAATATAGCTGCAGCGTGGCTCTACCATGTATGATTAATTGATTTTTGACTAACTTGCCGATGAGCTAGAAACTTGAAAACCTGGTATATTATTTTTTAACGCAATCACTATTTTTACTACAGCACGTTATTTGATATTTCCAAATAATTCAACGTCACTTTTTACTCCAGCTCTTATGGACGTAAAAATCTTCACAAGTTGACAAAAACCAGAAAATAACCAACAGGTAATCGGTTGTAGCACGAATGGGTCAACTCGACCGGCGAAGGACCACGCTCTCACAGAATATCACCGTAAAATAGTAGCTTATTGATACTGTGTTTCGTATAGTGAGTGCAGAGAACTGTAGAACTTTTACTGGAAACCAGACATTCCATTTTAGTCCTCAGGGGTGACAACGCATCTGCATTTTGATTCTTAATCGAGGATAGATTTAGACTGTGTGTTCGTTTATCACCCGTATTCTATAAAACAAAAGGTTCTCGAGCGGCAGCTTTATACTGATAAGTACAGCGTAGAGCGACCTTGTACTTATATAGCGTGAAGTGCTGACGAGGCATGCAGAACGTCTTTGGACACAGCTGGCTAATACTATGTGGTTACTACACGGCACGCTTATATTTAGTAGAGGATTTATCCAGGGCTGTGATGATGATTATTAAATATGAATTCATCTGACTATAGGTAAAGACGATGGGCGGGGCAAACAATAATATAGCTGCAACATAGCTTTACCATGTATATAATATAGCTGTAGCACGTACAAAACGGTTTTTTGTTCTATGGGTGTCGAAAGTAGCGTCTCTGGGAAATGTAATATAGCTTATGGCTTCCGACAGATGGTAGTATAATATCAGCTCCTACTTCAGGCGTAAAATATCCAGACCTACTAGCAGCATCGTCAAAGCTTCCAGAAGTCTGGTATTGCGATTGTTGATCGAACACTCTTTACTCATCATCATTACAGCCCCTCACGAGTACACTACTGAACATAGGCTTCCTCAACAGAACCATAGAGCAGGGTCCTGAACCACCTGTATCCAACGACTTCCTGCATATCTTATCAGGTCGTCACTCCATCTAATGTGGAACGTCCTACACGCTCCAGTCAGACCTGAAGATTTTGAGACTTTTATCAAACAACTGCTAGGATTTTTGCAGCACAACCAAATGCCCCCCCAAGTGAGTGACTGTCAGCTAAGCCCGTGGAGTGAGTGGAGTCGCTGCAGCGTCACATGCGGCATCGGATACCAAGAGCGCACCAGGACAATACGGGTAAGTTTTATTTAAATAGAACAATAATAATAAGCTAACAGTCTCAGAAAATGTGCAGGACTTATCTATCAAAAAGGTTATAAATTTTATTAAGCAACATTTTTTTAATAAGATTAATTACACTACTAAATGTTACATCATGGTTGATAATAACTAATCCCTGGGAATGAGATGATCGCTACCGTGCTGTTTCTAAATGTTTTCATATTTAATAACGTATTATGTTGTAAATTATTGTTTAAATAAGTCCCGCTCGGTTTCTTGCTGGTTCTTCCCACGACAGAAGCTTCTTCCGAACCAGTGGTAAAAGCATAAAGAGTTTCAATAAGTATTTTTGTAATCTTTATTATTCTCCTCTATTTAACGACATGTCATGCTTTTCTACGATGTCTGAATAGTTGGTAGTAACCGAGGCAAAGCTGGTTGTTCTTTTACCCTAATATTCTATCAAAAAGCCGTGCACGCACTGCTATGTTCCTATTTGAAGGCGAAGAGAGTCAGTATAAAAATGTCTTCCAGACTGAATTTCCGTCACGGAGGCCAACCTCAGCGAAGACTATCTGCGCAATATACTGTATCGTACACGAATATGTGAACAAGCATAGAATATAATAGAATAGAATATAATATTTTATATACAATATATTATATTGAATTACATATTCTATTATATTATATATAAGAAAGGTTCTCGAGTGGCAGCCTCGTACCGGTAGGTAAAGTGTAGGGCGGTCCTCCACTAGATGGACTGACGACCTGGTAAGACATACAGGAAGTCGATGGATGCAGGTGGCTCAGTACCGTGCTTTGTGGCATTTCTTGGGCTGAAAGATCTGTAATGACGATGATCAAATATATCTATTTACAATAATACTTGTGCAAATCATTGATGTCTTAACAACTGGTTCGAATATATCATCTATCCTGGGAAAAACCAGCAATAAATCCAGGTTGTTATAAAATAAATCCAGGTTGTTATAAAATAAATCCAGGGTGTTATAAAAAACATATATCATTTAGGCTGATTTTACAGTCACGCTTACCGTCTCTATTCCCCCTAGAAGTTCGATGAGACTCCGACACTACCACGAAATGGAGGGCCAAAAGCTTTGCGTGCTTTCTGAAGCACGGCGGTGAAACACTGCCAACTTTTTCCTAACAAATTCCTTGACAAAAACATTTTTGGGTTTTTCTGATGTAGTTGACAAGGCGAACATTGTTGTTGATAAGTTGATATTCAATTTCTGGCACGCACGCTATGTTCCAAGCAGAGTTAACCCCGTTCATGTACTCGTATAGTTGCCAGCTCCTCTTTAATGATTCGGGATCATATAAGTTTAAATAAAGAACGTAGGATGAAAATAAAGGATATCATATTGTTTTCCATAAAATACTGTAATGGGATCAGTGGCAACATTAATAATAAAGAACAATGTTAATACGCAATGAAACGTAGTTCTCTCTAAAGGTGTTACGACACCAATCGATCTCTGCTCGACTCGATCAATGCCATTGATCGGATTCAATCGATGTCGATGGATTGGCGTGGTAGTGTTAGCTGATCGACGAATATTGGTCGATAAAACGTTGTTCAATCATCGATCGACAATGAATAAATATGGTTGAAGGCTCATTAACAGTATCTTTCAAAATATATTCAGAAGAGGACAATAGTGAGCGGTCGGTGGTGCGAGACGGGTTCTCGAATAATCAAGAAGCTCGATCGATGTGGTATAATCGATTCTACCATCGATTGATGCTATTGATCGATCGGTGTGATAGAAACTATCGATCGACATCGACTAATCCATGTTGATGCCATTAATCGACGATCGATCTATTGGTATGGTACGCATATGCATGCGTTAATTTTTCCTAAATAATTCAAATTAGGAGACAAGATCAATTAGCAAGTCTAAAATGGAGGACGTCCTTAAAAATAAAGGACGCCTGGCAGCCCTACGACCATGGCTTAGTAATTTTGCTATTAATTTGTTCAATTGTAAATACGCATGGTAGTTCTTCAATACGACTTGGCAGATATTCAAACAATAAAACATAAATAGCTCGTGCCACAAGACAACCTGTTAATCTAGGTTAAAATTTATGGTGTGCAGTCCAGGAATTAGTTTGTAGGGCTTTACGCTTTACACGCTTAAATACTGTTCCATCTGATGGTAAATGGTGATGCAGCCGAAGATGGTGAAGTGCTATGACCTAAAAAAAGCTTATTCGCTCTTGCCTTGAAGACAATCATGTTGTAATCGGAGGGTAAGACAGATGCTGGAAACTTATTCCACTCTTTTGCTGTACGCATGACGAACGACGTAGCAAACCGTTTGGTTCGAATGCGTGGTAAGTCAACAACGAAAGGGTGAAGACTGGCCGCAAATCTGGTTATCCGATGGAAAAGAGAGGGAGGAACTCAGTAATGCAATGTTGTAAATTAATTCAAAGCAAGTGGTAAAATTAAAAAAAAAATTGCAACCGACTTCAATTTAAATAAAATAAAAACATCAATGTGGTATACGCGTCTGCATATGCTGTATGGTACTGCATTGAAAATAGATGTAGATGTCTATGGGCCACAGCATCCACTTACTATCAGGTGGACTTGGAATTTATGCAGAATTGTGTGAATTATTGACCCATCCGTCCATGTCCTTCGACAGGCACCACTCACCATCGTTGAGTAGTGTTGTTATTTCTTTTCATTCTCCATTTACCTACCTATGGTAAGCTTAAATAATAATAGAATAGAGCTTTACCTTTTCTCTTTTGGAGACTTTTTTTTCAAAGTAAACAACACGTTAATAAAGCTTGTACAAACTATTCGTAAAATTTATTTTAGACACCCTTTGGAAGCGACCACCTTATTCCAAAGGATTATTATTATACGTATTTACTATAATAACTCTTTTTATACTAAAATAAAATATTATACTTGATAATAGAGATACCTTGTTTATTTTCTGTGATTTTGTTTTAATATCGTAGGTGCACATTACACCATAAATTAATTAATGTCTCTGTAGCGTTGAGAATCTGGTATCACAGCTTGTATTTGTTCTTAGTGTTTAAAGAGGGTGTATCACTTTAGTATATCACATTTTTTTTAGTTACTGATGAACATGTTTCTTAGTCTGTTAATTTAATTTAATGTGTCATTGTTACATGCTCGTTTACCTGTTAACTTACTATAGTGTAATTCTTCAATAAGAAAAACTTCTAGTAATCTGACTCTACTTGAAGCCACGTACGCTCGACAAGACGCAGCGAAGAGCTTTGAAGAGCAGAACGTCATTTTATTCGTACTTTTATCAAAAAATCCTAACATTTGATATCTATATTATGGAAGTGTATAAAAAATAACTAGTCCGCAATCTTGGGCGATGGGCTATGGATTGTCATCCGAACTAACCGTGTATGCAAAATTTCAGTTCCATCGGTTGGGGATAACTGCTTTGAAATTTAGTTGTAAGATTTGTTTGCTAGAAAACACAAACATTGCAAGTTAAATAAAAGTTTGTAGAAAAAAAACACAATCGCACTTAGGGGTTAGCTATATCACCCGTGAGTTTTCAGTTGAGCGAGCAAGTCACGCGAGCTCTATTAATAGATCTGGTAAATGATCCGATCCAACCAGTGAACTGGTTCAGCCTTGCCCCGCACTTGACCGCACTGGTCGCAGACGTTCCAAGCACGATAATGGCATTCCATCTAAATTATTGAAGCGTAGAGGTTATTTTGCTTGAATATTATAAGTCTGTCTAGTCTATATTTGTTTATGCTTGATTTTTTGTATGAAGATAAGACACAATTATATATTTTTTCCTATTCTCGAACACTGAATGTATCAGGGTTGTCTCCTAAGCCCAATACCAATAAAGAGTGAGAACTAAAAAAGGAACACAAATACATAATATTTTAAGCATCAATTATCATCATTACGGCGTTTAAAGGTCCACACCTGGACATAGGTCTTCCTCATCCTCATAGAGAGAATTATTTGGCAAGCGGTTTAGCAACCGCAGTTTTTTATTTTTAGTCGTTATTAGGAAGGCGCTGCTGCCCGTAAACTCGTTTGTTTCCTTATGTCGCCTCTTACGAGCAACCCCCCCCCCAACCCTGATATGGGGTGTGGATATTGTAACACCGCCATGACACGTTAAATAATAAACTCTTTGTTTAAGTATTCCATATTAGATTGAAAAACCGTGGACACCTTTGTCTAAATGTATTATTTATTTTCCAGGCGCAACCCGGCCCAGGTGGAGTGGCCTGTCCATCGCGTCTTTCACGTCGCAGGCGATGCTCTAGACCCTGTTAATATTTACATAGCTAATACATTCGAATAAACCGATATTAGAGCATTGATGTAATAGGTATTACGTACTAGAATAGATGCCCAGAATTGGTTGTTTGCAAGACGCGTTTGAGCCTGTGGATTCAAACTTACTTATAGTATGTGTCATAAAAAAGTACTCTGTGCCTCCTTATTCCGGCTCGCACTGCCGCACAGAGCTTGGATGCCGTGTCTGTTCTAGTACGTAGAACATATTATTTCAATGTATTAGATTTAGTTTTCTCGAAAGAGCAACATTCTATTTTACTTTTTATGTAGTAATTACATTATAAATAATTAAGACCAAGAGTTCTCTGTGGTATAATTTAACGTCGTTGAGCACTCATGTCTAATTTCCAACACTATACCATATGTTCTAAGACTTTATCTGAACACATGAGGAATTTGATGTTAATTATTATCTAATAAGAGATCTAGATGGTTTTCAAACGGGCATTTAATAAATACTTTTGCATTTCTTACGTTGTTTTTGTTATATTATATTTCCCAATTATAGCACGGTACTCAAAATAAAAATTAAATATTTTATTTCAAAATTGACCTTTACAA